ATCACTGTTGCACCATATGCTAACTAACTTGGATGTAAATTTAAAAAAATGTAAAGAAATTTAAAAAAATAAATAAAACTACAAGAAAAAAGAATAACTAGGAATTGAGCAAAAAGAAAAAAAAAAGATATGCCAATACTGAGATGAATTGAATAGAGACCTGAGGCTGGGAACAAGCACCGGGTTAGTAAGAGCACATCAAACTGAAGCCAGAATATGAAAATTAAAGCACAAGGTTCAGGTTTTTCCATCACTCATTAAAGGAAGATGTGATACATTTTTCCAATTGGATACGATGACCTTTATTCTGATTTGATATGTACAAGTTCAGCCATTTTCTGACAGAGTAGCCTATTTTAATTATTTAGTAATAAATGTAACTCTACTTAGGAAATATGACATTATCTTTCCATAGGTATTACAGATGAAATTCTTCATTTAAGTGTAAAGACTTTCAGTTTATCATAGTATTTTAGTCCTTATAATTTCCATCTTCATATGTAAAATAAGAAAGTGTTGTCCAGCCATAATGCATAGAGAGACCAATACAGCTAAAAATTTCATAAAATGAGTCCTGTGAACTAGATCGAAAAATCACTTAGCATGAGCATGCTATGGGTGCCTCATGTTAAGTAATTTGGGAGATAAAATGTATTAGAATGAAACTGAACCTTGAAATCAAGAACTTACAGTTAAGTTTTAAGACAAATGAATATAGATTAGGGTAGCATGTCCAACAGAAATATAATACAAGGCACAAACATTAGACACATACCTAATTTTAGAAATAGTAAAAGAAAAATAGGTGAAATTAATTTTATTATTATATTCTGTGTAATCCCAAATTATCACTTCAACATGGAATCAATATAAAAATTATCATCAAGACATTTATACTTTTTTCCCTACTAAGCTGTCAAAATTCAGTGTACATTTGATACTTACAATACATCTCAATTCCGGCTAAACTTTTTTTTTTTTTTTAATTTTTAATTATTCCTAAGAGAGAGAGAAAGTGCAAGAATGGGAGGGGCAGAGAGGGAGACGCAGAATGCGAAACAGGCTCCAGGCTTGAGCTGTCTGCACAGAGCCCAACATGGGGCTCAAACCCATAAACTGTGAGATCATGACCTGAGCTGAAGTCTGACGCTTAACCAGGTGAGCCACCAGGCGCCCCCAGACTAGCCTTATTTCAGGCGTCAGTAGCCACATGGGCTTAGTGGCTACCATATTGGGCAGTGCAAATTTAAAGTAATTAGACATGAGTTCATGGGGGAGTTGAAAGCTTAATTGGTCCTTAAAAGAAAGATAAAACGTAGACAGGCAATGATGAGGAAACATAGCATTCCACTTAGAGGAAACAGTCTGAGCAAAGATCGAGCATGCTGGCTAAAGCAGCATGCTCTGTATATTGGAAGCAGTGCTTAACTACCTGAAGGGTAAACAAGGTCACTTAATAAAAATGCTGCCAGGTGGTAGAAGGCACAGAAAAGCAGGGAGAGAAGTTTGGCCTTGAGGTCATGGTAAAAAAAAAAAAAAATCACTATAGGTTCCTAGGGATATAAAGAAAGGATGGCATCTTGCATATAATAAGCCTCTGTGGAATGATGAGTTAATAAATAAATGATGCATTAGGAAGGTTAGTCAGGCATTATTAAGTGGTATTTATGTGAAGCAAGAGAGGCTAAAGGTAGAAAAATCCAATTAGGTGCTTCCAGCTGCAATCTAGTTATGAGGACCTGGATTTAGAGGACAGTGCAGGCAGGAAGCTTCAAGAGCACATCTGAGCCACATAACAAGATAGAATGATGTGACTCAGCAAGAAATCAAATTGAGAGGAGTAAGGAGAATGAAATGGGAGATGTATTTTGCTGTATCTAAGATGTCAGCAGTTAGAAGACACGCCATTATTTTATGTTCAATTAAGAAAAAAAACTCTGTTAATTAAACTAGGACACTTACCAGTGAGGACTTTTTGTAATATACTTATTAAAAGCAGTATCTTAGACTTAATTTAGGTGTAGGTTTTGATTATATATCCATTCTTTGTATATGTAAAAAGGAAGATATTAAGTGAAATAAATTGGTGTAGGTATTTTTGAAATTTCTAAATTTCAACTCAAGGAGGAGAGGGGAAAATGGGTGATGGGCATTGAGGAGGGCACTTGTTGGGATGAGCACTGGGTGTTGTATGTAAGCGATGAATCACAGAAATCTATCCCCAAAACCAAGAGCACACTGTATGCATTATATGTTAGCTAACTTGGTAATAAATTATATTTAAATATTTTTAAAATTAGAAAATTTAAAAAAATTCAAATCAGGGTTATTGATATGTTTTTCCAAAAGAGTGACCTACTCGGTGTCAAAAATGTTATTTCCTAAAAGTTCTGTTTCTTAAAACAGTGCTCCACTATTCCCTCTGACATATTCTTCTAAGCCACTAATCCCATTTCTACAAAGTTAAATGACAGAAATGACAAATTCATGCTGTACAAGAATGACAACCATATTAGTATTGTTACCAGGCAGGGAAATTTTAAGAAGTCAACGATCATCAAACTCCCCTGATTTCAAATATGTTAAAAGTAAATATATATATATTAAAAGTAAATATATATATATTAAAAGTAAATATATATATATTAGAATAGAAAAAATACACATAAATCACAGTGTCTATATTTAGCAATAGTTCAGTAAACATTTGATAGAGTAGTACTCCAAAATTTCCAGTTTTGAGGCTGTAAAGAATGATGACGCTGCTGACAGTAATGCATCAGTTAGAAAGAGGGTCCAATGTTCATGGAAAGCAGCAAACTATCTTGCATACATTGGACTGGAACTGAAGGCAGGTAATCTAAAAACACACTAAGCTGGGGCGTCTGGGTGGCTCAGTCACTTAAGCGTCTGACTTCAGCTCACGTCATGATCTCACAGTTTGTCAGTTTGAGCCCCGCGTCGGGCTCTGTGTTGACAGCTCAGAGCCTGGAGTCTGCTTCAGATTCTGTGTCTCCCTCTCTCCCTCTACCCCTCTCCTACTAGTGCTCTGTCTCTTCTTCAAAAATAAACAAACATTGGGGCGCCTGGGTGGCTTAGTCGGTTAAGCATCCGACTTTCGCTTAGGTCATGATCTCGCGGTTCGTGGGTTCGAGCCCCGCATCGGGCTCTGTGCTGACCGCCAGCTCAGAGCCTGGAGCCTATTTCAGAGTCTGTATCTCCCTCTCTCTCTGACCCTCCCTGCTCACGCTCTCTCTCTTCTAGAAATAAATAAAAATAAAAAAAAATAAACAAACATTAAAAAAATTAAAGAAAAATAAAAACACACTAAGCTAATGGCAGTATACATAGCTATGTGGCTTCGAACAACCCTGGCCTTCACTTCTTTCTTTTCCAAACCAAAGAATGCATGAAAATTTTTCACTGAATTATAGTCTTTTTTATTAGGTATTCTGTTTTATGTGTTCATTAAGCTTTATATTCCTTAAGGGATAGGACTATACCTTACGCCTCCTTTCTACTTTTTCCCTCCTCCCCACCTGCTCCAGCATTATGTTACCATATTAGGATTGCCTAAAAAATATTAGAAGATTTAATAATTAAGAATAATTTATGTTGGGTGAATAATGGTAACTAACATTTATTGAATATTACATGCTAGCAATTGAGATAAAGCACTACTGATTACACATTAACCATTTAGATAGAGCACTACTGATTACACACTAGCCATGGAGATGAAGGACTACTGATTACACTTGCCACAAAGATAAAGTACCAGTCACACATAGTCCCGTTTCAGCCCTCCCACATTGGGAAAGTGCATAAAACTAGTTTGAATACTTGACAGATAGTAAATCTGAGACTTAAAGTTTTATATTCAAAAGTAGGAGCTTGATTTGAAGCCAAGTAGTATCATTCTAGAACTCATGTCTTATCTTTCACCCTACACCACATTCAGGAAATGACCACCTCCTTTCTTCCCAGGATCACAATAAACTCACCTCCTGATGGCTTGTGTCTTGATTTGGGGATTCGCAGGTTTGACTTTGACTGTTGATAGGAGAGCTTCTCTTAGCTGCAAAGATGGAAGAAATATCATCACAGATTTTATAAGATTACAATAAGTTATTTTTATTTCATAATTTCCTAAAAATCATTTTTACATATCGTTATCACCCTGAAAGACGATATTTAATATCATATGCTGTAAGAGAAATCAAAGAACCAATTAAAGAACCTTAGCATCGCTAGGTTATAACAATGTAGATTTCTTCATCTATTCACTCTGACTCAATAGGCTGTTGGTGCTAAAAAGTTGGCAATACTAAAATTAATAATGGTTAACATCTATATGGTACCAATGTCTGCCATGTTCTTTTAAGTCATTTTACAGGGGTGGCTCGGTGGATCAGTGAGTTAAGCATCCGACTCTTGATTTCAGCTCTGGTCATAACCTCAAAGTTGGTGAGTTCAAGCCCTGCACTGGGCTCTGTGCTGATGGTGTGGAGCCTGCTTGGGATTCTCTCTCTCCCTCTCTCTTTGCCCCTTCTTGTTCTTTCTTTTATTTTGTAAAAAAAATAAAGAAAGAAAGAATTTGACATATACAGCCCTACTTTCTTATCTGCAAGGGATCTGTTCCAAGTGGATGCCTGAAACTGAAGATACTACTGAACCCTATATATACTGTTTTTTCCTTCATATGCATACCTATGATAAAGTTTGATTTATACATTACACAGAGTAAGAGATTAACAGCAATCACTTACAATAAAATAGAACCATTCTAGCAATATACTGTCATAAAAGTTATGTGAATATGGTCTCTGGTCTCTTTCTCGTTTAAAATACTTCATGATACCATATTCACCCTTCTTGTGGTGATGTGAGATGATAAAATGCCTACATGAGGAGATGAAGTGAGATGAACAATACAGCCATTGTGACATAGTGTTAGACTACTACTGACCTTCTGACAATTTGTCAGGAGGAGCAAATCATCTGTTTTTGGACCATGGGGAATTGAAACTACAGAAACCAAAACCACAGTTAAGGGACTACTGTCTCATTTAACCCTTAAAATAACCCAATAATAACATTGGGATGGTGAAGGGAACAGCCCCAGTGATTCATGAGGGATACTATTTCTTAATAGGTTTTAATGCATCTGTTAAATGATAGTTTATGTACTAATGAGAGAGAGAGAGAGACCTAAATGTGAAGTGACCTCTTATTCATAAGGTAAGTGATAAGGCTTATAAATATGAAAAAATCCTTAATCAGCATAAGGATATAGTTTTTTCAGTAATAGTTTTGTCTTACTGTGGCATATTTTTTCTTTTGTCTTATTTCTATTGTTTTCAGTTTTTAATATTATACATCTGTCTTCACTCTCAGATTGTTTTAATTCTATGAAATTAACCTCATTCTATCCATGGAATCTGAAGTAGATGACTTCTGGCTATGATATCTTATTTAGTTCCTTCCTATTTGAACCTTATGACAGACTGTTACTCTCGAATTTATAATTTATTTCACTAGTTAATGCATTGTTCACAAATTAATTCTGGAATTAGTCTACTTTTACTATATGAAAAATTTCATCTTTTGTCTGAATTACTATACTAAGCATGATTTGTCACTATAAGCATCTTATCTTTTATTTAGAAAATCCTTTAACATACTAAGTACCTTGCAAAGGTATGTTACAGGGGGAATGTATGTAAAAACTTATTAATGGCTTCCTTCACCTTACAAAGCCCTTTTACATGCATAATCTTCCATTGTCTGCAAAAAAGCCTTTTGAAGTTAGCAAATGATGTATATCACATACACACACACACACACACACACACATACACACACACATATAATGTCTCTATAGACTTACCACACAATTTATCTCTTTCTAAATGTTATTATTGATGATAAAAATTTGGTTGGAAATAGAAGGATGGAATTTATAAAGCACTCACTATAAAATGGGTACTTTATGTAGATTCTTAATTATTCCACACTATGAGGCTATATAAGATAGTATTATTATCTCCATTTTAAAGAACTAGAAACACTCAGAGAGGTTACTTTACATACACAGTAAGAGATACATCTGGAGTGAAGCCTGAGCTTTCCATGCACTTTTCAAGCTATTAAATGTTGCTCTTTCCACAATTCACCAAAACAATTATTTCATTAGATGATTCCTGTAGTGAAATACTTTGATACCAAATAAACACTAAGGCAAGATGGTTAAGGAGGTGTTAATCTGTCTACTATAATGATTATGAAGATATAATAATAATATCTTTTTATTATTTTTTAATGGTTATTTCTGAGAGAGAAAGGGGCAGAGAAAGTGCAAGACACAGAATCTAAAGCAGGCTCCAGGCTCTCAGAGCCTGACACGGGGCTTAAACTCATGAACTATGAGATCATGACCTGAGCTGAAGTCAGACACTCAACTGACTGAGCCACCCAGGCACCCCAATAATAATATCTTATTTACTTACTATGTGCCCGACATTCTTCTAAGCAATTTTATATATAATTAATTCACTTTTCATAACAACCCTGTAAGTACTAGCAATATCATATTTTACTTCTTGTTTTACACATGAAGAAACTGAAGCACAGGAAATTTAAATGACTTATCCAAAGTCACTCAACTGAATAGCATGTGCTCCTGGTTTAGAGTTTCTCATATGTAAATAAGTCTTGTGCCCAGGGCACTTATATAATAACTCCCTAGAGAAATTTTCTTCCTCTTGGTTTCTTTCTTTTATCTTTTATTCTTCCTTCCTTGCTTTTTTCTTTCTTTCTTCTTTCCTTTATTTCTTTCTTCCTTCCCTTCTTTCTCCCTTTCTTTCATTCTTTCTTTCCTTTTTTCTTCCTTCCCTCCTTCCTCCCTTCCTCCCTTTCTTTTCTTTCTTTTTCTTTCTTTCTTTTTCTTTCTTTCTTTCTTTCTTTCCCTTCTTTTTCTTTGTTTCTTTCTTTCTTTCTTTCTTTCAATTTAAATCCAAGTTAATTAACATATAGTGAAATAATAATTTCAGGAATAGAATATAGTGATTCATCACTTACATATAATATCCAGTGCTCATCCCAACAAGTGGCCCCATTAATGCTCTTTACCTCTTTATCCTATATCTCCACCCAACACCCCACCAGCAACCTTCAGTTTGTTCTCTATATTTAAGAGTCTCTTACGGTTTATCTCCTTCTCTGTTTTTATATTATTTTTGCTTTCCTTCCCTTATGTTCATCTGTTTGTATCTTAAATTCCACAGATGAGTAAAATCATATATTTATATTTCTCTTAGCATAATACACTCTAGTTCCATCCACATTGTTGCAAATGACAAGCTTTCATTCTTTTTGATCACCAAGTAATATTCCATTGTGTATATACACACAGACACACACACACACACGCACACACACCACATTTTCTTTATCCATTCATCACTTGATGGACATATTTGGGCTCTTTCTTTTAATGTTTGTTTGTTTGTTTGTTTTGAGAAAGAGGGAGAGATGCAGGGAGGGACAGAGAGAGAATGAAAGAGAGAATCCCAAGCAGGCTCCATGCTGTCAACACAGAGCCTGACACAGGGCTCAAACTCATGAACAGTGAGATCATTACCTCAGCCAAAATCTAGAATCAGTTGCTTAACTGACTGAGCCACCCAGGTACCTCATTCCTCTTGGTTTCTTAAGGGCAAATCATTTCATCACACTTACTCCTGCATATGAGGGAGTCTGCTAAGACCGTCCCGCTGGGTGTCCAAGTTACGAACCTGTAATGATGTTCCTGATGGGTTTCACCAGTGCTGTGAAGCCAGAGACTTCGGGTTGTCTGTGCTCCCACATGGGCTGCCATATAACAAGACCGCTGGCCAGTCGGAATGTAAGGTCTGATTCCTGGGGGAAGAGAAGATCTATGTCCAATAACTGGCTTGTAAAACCTGGTTGAAGAAACCAGTCATTGCAATGATTAACATCATTCACAAGATTATTGTCAAAGTAGGTTGGGTTGATCTTCTAGACCTTCTTTCATCACTCAGATGAGTGTTTCTAGGGTAAATGAATAGTCCTAAGTTATCATCACAATTATTATGGAAACCACCGTGGTCTGCTTTTGGCATAATTAATAATTAAAATGCAGCTTTGGCCAAAGCATGAAACATAAATTACTGTTTTGTGTTAGCAGTGATCAAGGCCTGTTTATTTCAAGAGCCTTGGCAGTTCTCTTGTGGTTATCATTGTTATTCCTCTTAATTATTTAATTGTCCTTCTTTCTCCCTCTTAAATCAATATTCTCAGATATTGGCTATTTTGACTTGTTATTCTCCAATCCGTGTCTTATTTTTGCATTTCATAGAATCAGGAACATATATTTAGACCCTTCTAGTATATTGTTTTGTAATGTTGCTTTCTTAACAATCTTTAATTCCTTGAGGGCAGGAGTCTATCAGATATCTTCACGCTTCGACAGCACTTGGCATCATCACAGGGCTCAATACAGCATTAGAAATTGGGTGCACAATAGGAACTCGGTAAGTACTTGCTAAGTTGCACTGATGTTACAATTCATACTCATTCCATTTATCTACAGTTTAAGGTCTTTTCTAGGGAGCACATTTTCTGCTTCATCATTACATCATTTTGAGAGGCTGAGATATTTAAAATACTATCTCATATTGTGTAAGTACAAATATATGACATTCTGAGATTACATTTTAAACAGCTCAGCCACTGATGGGAATTAAATACTGAAAAAAATAAATTGACAACCCAGTCTCTCAAAAAAATGTAGAGGTGGAAGCAGAGAATGTTATTGCAGATTAACGAACACAACCAAAACCCAGGAACTCACATGGGGCAGTGGTGTGCAACCCTCGCTTGCATATTATAATCACCTAGGCAACTTTGGAGGCCCAGATGTTACTTCCTCCCCTGCCCAGACCAATTAAATTAGAATCACTCAGTTCCATGCTGACTTTCATGTGTAGCCATGGTTGAAGACCATTGATCTAGAAGGCTAAGCTGTAGGAAGAAATTGGAAAAAAAAAAAATAAGAAAAGTGATCCTGCAAATGGTGAATCAACATGGCTCAGTGTCAAAGGAAACTTTGGCTAGAAGGGCTGATGATATCCACACATATATACAGAGCAGCCTCTTCTGTAAGCTATAGGCTAGGATCCTGGCACTACAACAGTGCCCACGATGGGAAAACATCTAGGACTCCCTGTGAAGGTATTAGGAAAGCACATACAGCATTGGTCAAATTCAGTCAACATTCATTCTATAAATATTTGTAGACCACCTACTGCATACTTACTACTATTCTAGGTTCTGGGCTAGAATAGTGAACAAAGCACACAAAAGTCCCTGCTCTCCTGCTACAAAAGAGAGGAAAAACAGGCAAAGGGATGTGTCAGGCAAGGTGTTGATATTTTAGACAGCATGGCCAGGGAAGCCCTTATTGTGAAAGTGGCTTTGAGTAAAAGGATCTAAATGGAATGAAGGAGCAGCCAAGTAGATATTTTCGGAAAAACATTCCATGAGAAGGAATCAGCAAGTGCAAAGGTCCTACATATGCCTTGTGTGTCTAGAAACACCCAGGAGACTGTTTCTGGAGTCAGGTTGATGGCAGAAGAGTAAAAGAAAAAAAATAAGGTCAAAGAAGTTATTGAGTTCCAAATAATACAGGGCCTGATAGGTCATAGTAAGAGCTTCAGCAGTTACTGAGTAAGATGGGAGCCACTGAGGGTTCTCAGTAGTGGTATGACATTACTGGATGTACATTTCATTGGCTTACTGAGGCTATTAAGAATAGTTTGAGAAAGAGTAGGCGTGGAAAGAGAGTCTATTTAGGAAGCCATTATTATCATCTAGGTGAAAGATGATTAGAGAAGGGTGTTAGTAGAGGGCAAAATGAGAAGTGGTAGTAGATTCTAGATACATTTTGAAGATACAGTCTACAGAACTGACTGGAAGTGGAGGGTGAGAGAAAGGGGTGTCAAAGATTTTTGGCTTTGACAAAGATAGGCAAGATGAAGAAGGAGCAGGTTGGGGGATATCAGGAGCCTAGTTTCAGACATGTTAAGTTTGAGATGCCTGTTAGACACTCAACTAGAGATATTGAGGAAGCAGCTTGACAGGCACGTCTGAAGTTATGGGAACCTAGTATTATATGTGGTGTTAGACCCAGCAAGCAGGGGATTAACAGTAAGCAAAACTTATCAGATCTGTCTCCAGAAATGCAGGAAGCCAAATCTCAATTGACCTGGTTTTGAGAATTTCATAGCTTTGGAACTCCGTCCTTTTCTATGTTCCTGATAAGTAGTCTTGGCACAAATAAAACTCCTGTGGACACACATCAGAAGGTAAGCCCTCTTATACTGAACCCCCGGCTTTTAACACTGGCTCAGTTGATCCACTCACTGATGGTTACTGTCTTTATTTTGTTTTATTTGATATATATCCAACTAGATTATATGTTTATGGAGACAAATTGAGATCTCCTTCTGTGTATTCTCCTTGAGCATCAATTTATACTTGTTGATTAATGGAGTATAGTTTACATTCCGAAAATAGCACCAATTAAACTAATCATTCTTCAGACTTGAAAACTTGCAAAATGTATGGCCTCCTCTTATGTTGTCATGTTCCTTTGTGAGTCCTTTTAAATTGGCTGAATGCATAAATCCTGGGACTCTAATTTTTTCTTCTGGAGTCCCCATTAGTGGGTCATAGAATGCTGTGTATGCACATATGGCCAGCAAGTTGATAGCTGGAAAAGACAGTATCATTCAAACGCTGTGGGACAGGTGGTCAAGTAAGGTCCTTAGAAAAACCAGAAGACATAACACTGGCAGAGACAATATCCCTACATTTCAGATGCATTTCTTGCTTTCACTGTTTCCATGATGGCATGAAACTATTCTAAATATGCTTAATAGTAGTTTAGAAAAATTGAATTTAAAAAGTATTCTTATTTTAAATTTCATTTTAATGTTGTTTACTTCATACATACAGATTTTATAAAAACTTCCTTGAGGGCTTGGATTTTGTTTTATTCACTGCTGAATAAAGCACTCTGAAGAGTGCCTTTCATAGAGAAGGCACTCAATAAATATTTATTGGAGGAATAAGTGAATATGATCAAATCATGACATCCCATTTAAATTCCTTAGTTGTAATAAATACTCAGCATTTTTCACTAATGAAATTAAATTTAGTTGAAAATAATATATTTGACAGAACTTTTAGATTATTGGTTTCATGTAACATATTTGAGGCAATTATAAATTAAAATTATAGAATCAATGTACAGAAATCTGTTGCATTTTTCTACATACTGGAAATGAAGCAGCAGAAAGTTAAGAAAACAATCTCATTTATAATTGTACCTAAAATAATAAAGTATCTCAGAATAAACTTAACCAAAGAGGTGAAAAACCTGTACTCTGAAAAGTATAAAACACTGATGGAAGAAATTGAAGGTGATATAAAAAAACGGAAAGACATTCCATGCTTATAGATTGGAAGAACAAATATTGTTAAAAATGTCCATATTACCCAAAGCAATCTACACATTTGATGCACTCTCTACAAAATACCAACAGCATTTTTCACAGAACTGGAACAAACAAAATTGGTCCTAAAATTTGTGTGGGACCACAGAAGACACTGAATAGCCAAAGCAATTTTGAAAAAGAAAAACAAAATTGGAGGCATCACAATTCCAGACTTTAAGTGATGCTACAAAGCTATAGTATTCAAAACAGTATGGTACTGGCACAAAAACAGACACATATATCAGTGGAACATTATAGAAACCTCAGAAATGAATCCACAATTATATGGTCAATTAATCTTTGATAAAGGAGGAAAGAATATGCAATGGGAAGAAGACAGTCTCTTCAACAAATGGGGTTTGGAAAACTGGACAGCTGAATGCAAAAGAATGAAACTGGACCACTTTCTTACATTATATACAAAAACAAACTCAAAATGGATTAATGGCCAAAATGGATTAAGGATATGAAACGTTAAAAGTCCTAGAAGAGAGCATAGGCAGCAGTTTCTCTGACATCAGGCATAGCAACATTTTTCTAGATATGTCTCCTGAGGCAATGGAAATAAAAGCAAAAACAAACTATTGGGACTATATCAAAATAAGAGCTTATACAAAAAATAAGAAGCTTATACACAGTGAAGGGAACAACCAACAAAACTAAAAGGCAACCTACTGAATGGGAGAAGATATTTACAAATGATATATCCAATAAAGGGCTAGTGTCCAAAATATATAAAGAACTTATTAAACTCAACACCCATAAAATAAGCAATCTAATTAAAAAGTAGGCAGAAGACATAAACAGACACTTCTCCAAAGACATCCAAATGGTCGACACTTGAAAAGATGCTCAACATCACTCATCATCAGAGAAATGCAAATCAAAATTACAATGAGATACCACCTCACTCTTGCCAGCACAGTTAAAATGAAAAACACAAGAAACGGTTGTTGGAGAGGATGAGGATGAAAAGGAACCTTTTTACACTATTGGCAAATATGCAAACTGGTGCAGCCACTGTGGAAAACAGTATGGGCATTGCTCAAGAAGTTAAAATAGAATTACCTTGTGATCCAGCAGTCACACTACTGGGTATTTACCCCAAAGGTGCAAAATATTAATTCAAAGGGATACATGCATTCATATGTTTTTGCAGCATTATTTACAATATTTACAATAGCCAGATTATGGAAGCAGCCCAAGGTCCATCAATAGATGAAGGGATAAAGAAGATGTGATATATATAATGGAATATTATTCAGCTTTATAAAATAATAAAATCTTGCCTTAGCTATGACATGGACGGAGCTAGAGAATATAATGCTAAGTGAAATAAGTCAAAGAAAGACAAATGCCATATGATTTCACTCATATGTGGAATTTAAGAAACAAAACAAATGACCAACAGAAAAAAAAGAGACAAACCATGAAACAGACTCTCAACTGTAGAGAACAAACTGATGGTTACCAGAGGGAAGGTGGGTGGGTGGATAGGTGAAATAGGTGATGGAGATTAAGGAGTGCACTTGTTGTGATGAGTATTGGGTGATGTATGGAACTGTTGAATCATTATATTGTATACCTGAAGCCTATATAACAATGTATGTTAACCGTACTAGAATTAAAATAAATTAATAGAAAAAATGTGCATTGAATTAATTATACACTGTCTTACAAAAGGATGAATCATTTATATTAGATTTATTTGCTAATTAATGAATTAATACAGTCAAAAAATATTGATTGGATACCTACAAAATTGAGATATTATGTTAGCTCTTCAGAGTACAGTGATATCTCCCCACTCTCAAACCATTGAGATTCTAATGGGAGAGACTGACCCATAAAGAAATAATGATACTAAACTAAAAATAACAATAAAAATCTGTCTAAAATATTATTATAAAGATAGAGGAAGAGAGGGATGGATCTTAAATGAAATTGTGAAGGTTAAGTAGGAGTTTTCTAGGCAGAAGAGCAGGGCATGAGAACATTCTAGAGTGCAGAACCAGCATGAGAACAGGCCTGGAAAAAAGCATCTTATGTTCTTGGGGAGAGTCCAAGAACTTGGAGCTCATTGACAGGAGAAGTATCCATGCAGGTTATGGAGGGCCCAGTTACCAGACTAAAGAGCTGGAATTTCACTGGTCGTAGGAAATTAACAAATTAAGCATGTTGGTGATTTGGTCAGATCTACATAGATCACTTTAGTGTTGAAGTTGGATTTATGAGACAAGCCAGAAGACTGCAAACAAGTTAGAAAGTGGCCTCAACTGGATTTCAGCCTCCCACACTTCCTGTAGCACCATGTCCTATAAGAGCCTCAACCTACAACACCATCTGTAGAAGTGCTGACTGGCTACTTGAGGGAGTAAAGTCAAGAGAAGACCTGATATGTGGGGCAGCACACAGGGGCTGAGGACTACAACTTTGTAGAAACACCAATCTGGATGGTTGTGTGGTTTCCCCCCAAAGGCATGCAGGTATCTGGGGGCAGGGATAGAAAAAGTGGATTTTAGGCATGACCTGGTGTTGGAATTTTAAAAGGCAAATGCAATGGAAGGATAAGAAAAAGGGGGCATTAATGGTGCTGGTGAGGAGTAGTTCACATGGGTGTAGAATGGATAGGAAAGTAGGGAGAGACAGGATCTGATAACCAGTAGGCAAATGAAAGACCTACGACAGTGATTCTCAATGAGGGGCAATTCCCACCCCCTGCCTACCCATTGAGGACACTCGGCAACGTATGGACTCATTTGTGGCTGCCACAACTCAGAAGGAGGAGATGATACTGGCATCTTGTGACCTGGGGTCAGAAATGCTACTGATAACCTACACACATCACAGGATAATGTCTCACAGGAAAGAATTATCTGGCACCAAATGCTAACAGTGCCAAGGCTGGGAAATCCTGATCCGGGGACTGTACACTTCTAAATACATTTTAAAAAGCAAACACCTCACTCAGAAGGAAAAGGCCTTATGGATAAATTTATTGACTCATTAATATTTTTTATTCCCTATAGCATCTGGAACAATATTTCCTTCATGGCAATAATAAAATGATGAAATAATAATATGCTAGTAATGACAGCTAATAATAATAGTTTATTATGATTTAATCATTGTATGGTATTTTATATGCACTGTCTTATTCCCTTATAAATGCTCCAATTACTTCCTTATAAATACTCCAGGCCAGAAGTAAAACTTGAGGGTTTTGAGCCATAAACTATCTGGAAGTGTCCCGTGAAAGAGGATCTGGCTCCCTTTCTACTAAGAATACGAAATACTAATAGCAGTAAAACACCAGCACTAAAAGCAACTAAACATTTGTTAATGCCTTGTTATGTGTAACGTGGCTCACCATTGCACGTTTAACCACAAGGCCTCATAAAACTATTCTTATACCCAATAGTATAACTATTCTTATACTTGGGAAGACAGAGGCTTAAGGAAACTAATAGTAGGAAGCAACAAGCACTGGATTTAAATGTAGTCCTGTTTCCCAAACTTGGACTCTCAGTTGTATCTTCAGATAAAATTACAGCCATTCCTGTCACTTATATATTTTCACATTTTTCAGTCCAGAGGATATTTCTCCACGATAGTCATCACTATGGGCAGTCATTTTTTAAAGACCCCTTCTTTCCTGTCCTATCCATTTTAAGAGCTGTGTACCTATGTACAATTGCTACTCTTAGCACCTGGATCATCTAAGGTGATAATAACTTGGGTTTACTCGGTGAGTCTGTTATTAAATATTTATTTGGTACCTCATTTTTGCCAGATACTATTCTAGA